GGTTCACGTCCCGGACCCTGTGGCTTAAAACTCACGCCAGGCTCGTGTGCGTGCGTGCCCAAGATCCCAAAAAGAAACCTTACCTGATTTAGAATAAAATATTCCCTTGTGTGTGTTTTTGTTTTAACACTTTTTTAAAAAAAATTAGCACATATTGTCTCAAATTATTATTTGAATATAATTTCCTCAGAAATAGCAATATTATTTGTGAGAGGGAGCATGTCCTATTTGCCATTGCAATGTCAGTAGCGCCATACCAAATTTTACTTTGGGGCGTGTGTACTTGCTGGGGAGAAAGGAAGAGAGGGGAAGTGAGAAATCATCCCCCCTTGGCGATGTGGGATCCAGCCTCCTTAACCTCTGAGCCACCTACAGCCCACTTAAAAATATTGGTTGAACTGAATTAAAGATAACTGGCTCCCCTTTAGTGCAAGTTCTAATGCAGAAAAAGAAATCTCTTTCTTCCAATAAAAGAAAGAAAGAAAGAAAGAAAGAAAGAAAGAAAGAAAGAAAGAAAGAAAAAAGAAAGAAAGAAAGAAAGAAAAAATTCCAAATGTTCACTACCTTCTCATAAATTTTTGCCCTGTGCTGACTCTTCTTAAAGATAGATTTAATAAAAATTGTTGAAATCAGAGTTTGTGCCAGAAAAATCCCACAGTGACCAGTGGCCCTTATTGCATTGCTGAAACACTGGGCATCTCATTAGTGCTCTTTATGAAATTACTGTTTCTCCTGGGCATATGTTAAGACCACACCTCTCTACCCCCTGCAAAGCTAGAATGGCTATGTTACTGGTTTTGGCCAACGACATGCAAGTTCATGCACCATTTATTGCATCGGGGCCGAAGCTTTCAGAGCCTGTGGACAATCTGCTCCTTTCCTTGTTGGGCTGCTTTAGGAAAGCAGTGGAAGGATGGCACTGAGCTGGAGCTTGGACAGCCTACATCCTGGAGGGATTGCAAAGTATTGGTTTTGTAGCAAGAGTGAGAAACAAGCTGTGATTTTGCTAAACTACTGTTATTTGGGGGTTGTTACTTCAAAAACATTTCTATCCTGATTAACACATATCATCTCATTCAATTACCCACACTGGATTTTCAGACTTCTGGGCCAAAAAGCATAAGGTATGATCAACTCTGAAGCCCCAAGAGGGAAATTGTGATGCACAACTATAATGTAGAATTCTCCAGGTCCAGAACTTAGCTTTCTGTCTTGCTCATCACTGTTTAATTTTTGTTGTTGTTGTTATTTTAAAAGAGATTTTTGCTATAGAGCATGTGGGCTCACTGGAGAGACAGAAATAGAAAGCTAGAAATCACTCTGGGTAGGGGCGGTGGCCATACAGCAATCCCTTCTCCTCCATTCTCCTCTCAGGATTTTGGGCATGCAGGCACATGTACCCTACGTGCATTTCAAGCCACTGAGTCTGGGACGCGAACTGTGGTCGGCCATGTGGGAGTCTAGCACCTTAACCACTATACTCCCTGCTGGCTCTTCACCTTTTAATCTTAAATAAATAAAGCTTCATTCACATTTATGAGTATGGCCTGCAGTTTAGGTTGGTTTGGAGTCATGGATTCCTTTTTAAACAGAATCCAGCAATCCAAATGGATCACGATAGACTGTCGGGGAGTCAGAAAACACTTTACCAGGCACCCTGGGTTTCAGTGCCTTGAATCCTGTATCAAGTAAAGCCCATAGGACTGGTTGCCTGCCATTGCTTTTAGGAAGCACTAACAAGATGCTACTTTTGCTGAGCAGTCTTGCTTGTCCCTTGTGAAGTCATCTGATCTTACACCTAAGACTTCCTTATGTCTCCTTACTCCACGTGCTATGACCCCTGGATTACCCCTCCCAGACCTTTGATTTGAATTTTACATATTTTTGTCAGTCTTCACCCATACACTGGTGCACTTTGGCAGAGTCTAGAATTTGATCAGCTGCTGGTAGTAGCTTTGACCCCTGGGAGAACATGGCTATTTAGCAGTTCCAGAAGAAAGCAGATTAGGGATGATATGCATGGGTGGTGATAGAAAATCAATGTGTATTGGAGGGGACGGAGAGGTTCACGGAGTCGGAAGCTGGCTCACATCCCACTGAATAATGAGAAAATAGAAATACATCTTTCATCTGGAGTCTCAAGATGAGAAATGTTAAAAATAACGCCGAGATACTTACCAGATACCATTGCTTCGTAAAAAGAGGGTCGTTCATATTGATGTCGATCTCGTTGATGTCTCTGTACCCTCGCTTTTTTCGATCAAATCCTTCCTGCTGCAAGGCCATCTTAACCTGGAATGATAATACTGGATATTACCTGATTATCAACCTGACCACCCTCCTCTGGAGTTCATTTCCATGAATTCAAATTTCGTTTGTGTATAATGTGGATTTTTCTTTCCCTCTCAGCAAGAACAAGTTCATCTCATGCTCACTTTCACTTAATGATTTTTTTTTTTTCGAGAGCATTTACTTATGGTTGCACCAAACAAACTTGACTTGGGGATAACTTAAGTGAGTTTTGTTAAAAGAAGAATTAAATGAAGAGAAGTATTTTAAAAGAAGATAAATTGGTAGGGATTGTTAAGTGAAATAAAACAAAGCAATGGAGTATTTCTATTAAGAAAAAGAGAGTGAGGAGCCAGATGGTGGCATGGTAGTTAAGGTGCTGGACTCTCACATGGACAACTGCAGTTTGAGTCTTTGACCTCATGGTTTGTAACTTATGGTGTGTGTGTGTGTGTGTGCTCCAAATCCCGAGAGAATGGAGGAGAAGGGATGGCCGCATGGCCACCCTTCTGGGGGGTCATGTCTCACTTTCCTTCTCTTTGTCTCTGAAGATTATAAGAAAGATTGATATAGATTCAGGGACAAAGAGAGTGAAAACTTGTACAGATTATTTATTTATTTTTCTGGAGGGCTTCCTAGACTTTACATTTGACAGTACAGTTTTATCACATTTGGGAATCAGACAAAATAAAAACAAAAAGAAGAAATCTTCCTGGAGAGTCAGGAGGTCTCATGGCAAAGCTCCAGAGGGTAAGTGAGGGGCCTTGAGAAGAAATTGATGGATGGTGTTGTTGCCCTGGCACTGACAACATTTCATTTTTGGATAGTCAAACAGAGCCCCAGGCTCTTGGATCTAAATGAAACTTAGGACCTGAGTTAGTTCAAGCAGATTCCTGGCAGTGGTTAGGTTTTGTCCTAACCAGGAAACTTCCTTCCACTATGGCAATAACTAATTTATCATCCAATAGCTGTGGCCAGTCTCTAAGCATCTATAAACTCAGGGATGGTGCACATGTATAAAAGGACACGTGCTAAATATTTATTATTTTTGTTATATTTTGTGGTCCCACGTTCATTTTTCCTCTTCCCAAATATTCCCAGTGTATTTATGGGGATTACCTTGAGTTCATTGGATATTATGTTGGTGGGAGTGAAATTCTAGGCGCCTCTCTGCTGTTAAGGCACTGCTGTTCTCTCCACCTCAGGGGTGCCTTCTTGGCTCTCTCTCCTAGGATTTGAATCTTGGGAAAGCAATGCAGGGTCAGGGAACCTTTGGAGCCTGTTCATCTCAGAGGTTTATCACCAGATCCTCCCTGTAAGGGTCCTCTCTAGGAACTTGTAGCCCTCCCCTGGGGCTCTCCAAGACCAATCCTGCAGCCTCCATCAATTGTGAGCTCCTGGTATCCCACCAGCAATGTCGCTTTTGCTAAAGTGATGCAGAATCTATTTTTGTTGCTTGCAATCAAGAACTCTAGTTGATACATGATGAGAGCAGGACAGTAACATCCAAGTCAGGAGTGATTACAAGAAGGAGGATGAAGTGGGAACCAGCAGTTAGCGTAATGGCTGTGTCGCTGGACTCCCACGTTGTCGACCGTGGTTCGCGTCCCGGACCCGGTGGCTTAAAACCCACGCCGGGCGCGTGTGCGTGCATGCCCAAGATCCTGAGAGGAGAATGGAGGAGAGGGGATTGTGGCGTGGCCATCTCCCCTAGGGGGTGATTTCTCGCTTTCTGTCTCTCTGTCTCTCTCTGTCTGTCTGGCGAGTGCACGCGCCCTATAGTGAAAAACCTCTAAAAAAATAATAAGGAGGATGAAGAGACCATAGATGTGGTCGAATTCTTCTGTTCGTTGATGCCCTGGACAGTGGAGGATCCTGTGGGAAACTAGCTCCCCACCTCTTTGTTCTTCATACAACACATAAGACCTGGGGCTCACCTGCCAGAAAAATTCTAACTGCTAGACACTCAGGAAGTGTTGAATGTGGTGTTGGCAATTTGCTAGAGGGCATGTGTACTCTCTGGAGAGAGGTGAGGGTGGGGGGGGTAAAGAGAGTATAAAACACCTCCATAGAAGGTGGTCACGCTGCAATCTCTTCTCCATTTTTCCTTTTGTGATATTGGGCATGCACACACATGGCCGATGTGTTTTTCAAACCAATAGTTAGGGCCTCTAACTGCATAGTCAGCCATGTGGGACCCAGTTGGCTTAACCATTGCCCCACTGGCTCTGCTTTGTGAGATTTTTGGAGGTATTCTAACAAAGGATATTTACTATGGCACAACTTAAAGACAAATCCTCCCCCACCCAAAGACATAACAAAGTAACTAGAAAGATGAGATGGATGGGTATTTTATAATGTCCAAAAATGTGGACACAGCTAATGTCTATCAAATGGAGTTAAATTATGATTCAAATGCATATACACAATTTAAAGGAAAGGAAACCAGTATGTTGTAAAGATAACCTGCATCCCAATGGATACCATATCACTACCCACAACAACCAAGATAGGGAATCCATGTAAGTGTTCATCCACTGAAAAATGGATAGTGAAAACGTGGTGTATATTTGTAGAGTGGAACAGTATTCAGTCATTATAGAAGACAAAATTTAGTCATCTGAGATTAAATGGGTGAGCTTGGAGGACGTTGCCTTAAGTGAAATACACCAGGCACAGAAAGAGGAACAGCACATGTTCTCCCTCTTGTATAAAAATTAAAAAGAAAAAAAGAAAGAAGAAAGAAAGAAAGAGAAAGAAAAAGAAAGAAAGAAAGAAAGAAAGAAAGAAAGAAAGAAAGAAAAAGAGACCTTCTAAAAGTGGAAGTAGAGAGTTGGAGAATGAACATATAGGTTGGGAAGGTTGGTAGGGGGAGATAGAGCATGTTCATTAATTAAGCAAAATTACAGATAAATAAGAGGAACAATTTCTAGTGTTATAAAAGTACAATAGGGTGAATATAGCTAATGACAATGTGTTGTAGATCTGAGAGTAACTAAAGAAGAGAATTGTGAATGTTCCTAGACATCTGAGATTAAATGGGTGAACTTGGAGGACGTTGCCTTAAGTGAAATACACCAGTAATGACAAATACTTGAGATGATTTGTGTACTAATTACCTTGATTTAATTACTACACGGTATAGTCTTGTGATGAAAATCACACTGTACTCCACAAAGGTGTACAACTATTATGTCAATAAAACATATGTACACATATATGCAAGTGCATACGAATATATAGATATATTTTTAATATATATGTACATGTTGAGGAGGTCTCCAAAAAGTTCATGGAAGAGACCAGATGGTGGCATAGCAGTAAAACACTACGCTCTGAATGGGTAACCCACATGGAAGGTTCTGGGTTTGCATCCCAAGATCTCCCTGAGTACGCTAGTCATGCACATGCCTAAGATCTAGAGCTGACTGGGGCTGGATCAGGATTTCAAGATCCCATTGGGGGGTATTTCTCTCTCTCTCTCTCTCGCCCTCATGTGAGAAATAAAATGAAGGGACCAGCAGTTAGCGTAATGGCTATGTCGCTGGACTCCCATGTAGTTGACCGCGGTTTGCGTCCCGGGCCCTGTGGCTTAAAACTCACGCCGGGCACGTGTGCATGCAGGTTCAGGATCCCGAGAGGAGAATGGAGGAGAAGGGATTGCGGCTTGGCCACACTCCCCAGGAGGGTGATTTCTTGCTTTCTGTTTCTCTCTGTCTCTCTCAACGTGCCCTAAATAAAAAACCCAAAAAAAAAAAAAAAAAAAAAAAAAGAAAGAAAATGAAAAAAAAAAGAAAAAAGTTCATAGAAAATGTGTATTACAGAACAGTTATGCAAGGATTTCAAAATTTCTTTTGCACCAAAATAAACTTGTACTTTAGTTCCACTTTTCCATTAGCTTTTGAAATCATCTCATATATGTGTACATATGTGTGTGTATGTGTGTATGTAAATATACACATATATATGTATAAAATTTTCTTTAAGAAGCAGTTGACAGGGACCAGCAGTTAGCGTAATGGCTATGTGGCTGGACTCCCATGTAGTCGACCGCGGTTCTCGTCTCAGACCCGGTGGCTTAAAACTCACGCTGGGCATGTGTGCATGCGTGCCCAAGATCCCAAGAGGAGAATGGAAGGGAAGGGATTGCAGCGTGGCCATTCCTCCTGGGAGGTGATTTCTTGCTTTCTGTCTCTCTATCTCTCTCTGTCTGGCAAGCACACGCGCCCTATAGCAAAAACCTCTCAAAAAAAAAAAAAGTAGTTGACAAGATGGACTTAAATGTGCAAGAATTTTATCAGTTTATTGATAGAGAAAATAAAAGAAACCATTGTGAATTTGACACTAAGTAAAGGACAGAGTGAACAAAG